CAAAAAGATGGTCCGCTCTTTAAGCCATCTCTAGCCATTCACGCGTGATCCGGTCAAGCTGATAAAGTCCTACTCTGACAGGTCCTTGGTTCTTTGGAACCTGCTCTCAGCTTTTCTCTGACACTCTCTTTAAATAAAAACACAAACCTGAATCTCTTGTATTGACGATGGTATTGACCAGGTTTATGGCTACAGATGCAGTTAAACTTTGTTGTAACTTCTTGGTTGTGTTCTTGCTGTGTCTTTCTAAATCCATGCTTTTCGTTCTTTTTTAAACACAGAAACAGTTTTGTTTACCTGTTTGTAGCTACAGTTTCGCCGACGGCTGCCGGCTTCTTCAGGCTGACGCTGATGGTGGCGCGTCACTTCCTTCTCCGTTTATCTGCGGGCAGCAGAGGACGTTTTTCTCTTTGAACATCTTAGGTGTGTTCTTGCTGTGTCTTTGTAAATCCATGCTTTCGTTCTTTTTTAAACACAGAAACAGTTTTGTTTACCTGTTTGTAGCTACGGTTTCGCCGACAGCTGCCGGCTTCTTCAGGCTGACGCTGATGGTGGCGCGTCACTTCTGCTGCCCGCAGATAAACGGAGAAGGAAGTGACGCGCCACCATCAGCGTCAGCCTGAAGAAGCCGGCAGCTGTCGGCGAAACCGTAGCTACAAACAGGTAAACAAAACTGTTTCTGTGTTTAAAAAAGAACGAAAGCATGGATAGCAGAGGACGTTGTCGCCCTCTACTGCCCGCTCTCCCCTCTCCGACGATGCAGTCCCATGCGTGGTCCAGCGTGTAAACTCCGTCGTCCCTGTTCATGGTCCCACATCCACGTCTCCTTATCTCGATTGCTTCCTTGATCCATCTTTTGTATTTTTGTTGTTCGGTGGTTATGATCCGTGTGCTGTCCCAGTCCATTATATGGTTTTCTCTTAAGCAATGATCTGTTACGGCTGACTTTTTTATTGTACTTTCTGCTTCTTCTTTTGCTGCTCTTGTGTGTTTACGATTTGCCTCTTTCTCGCACTCCTTTCTGTGTTCTATTGTCCGTGTATTGAGATAAGGAGACGTGGATGTGGGACCATGAACAGGGACGACGGAGTTTACACGCTGGACCACGCATGGGACTGCATCGTCGGAGAGGGGAGAGCGGGCAGTAGAGGGCGACAACGTCCTCTGCTGCCCGCAGATAAAAGGAGAAGGAAGTGGCGTGCCACCATCAGCGTCAGCCTGAAGAAGCCAGCAGCCGTCGGTGAAACTGTAGCTACAAACAGGTAAACAAAACTGTTTCTGTGTTTAAAAAAGAACGAAAAGCATGGGTTTGTTGTAACTTTGTTATTAACTTTAATTCCTCTTCATACTACTGAGATGGCTTTAAAGCACAAGAAAACACAACATAAAAACTGCATTTATCTTGTTCAAAGCACAGTGAAACATGATCCGAGGGGTTTGCTGTGTGCGTCTGTCTGTCTGATGAATATTTAAGCATTTTCTCTGACAAACGACACCACGTTAGAGTCAGCACTCATCTCACGGGGAAAGTGACATCATAAATGAGCAGCATGCCGCTTCTTTCATACGTAACCTGTGTGTGTGTGTGTGTGTGTGTGTGTGTGTGTGTGTGTGTGTGTGTGTGTGTGTGTGTGTGTGTGTGTTTAATTCCTGTCTGCTGCTGCTCTAACAACGCCACTGCCTAATCTCCAGATTAGACCAATCTCAGGGAACTCAATCCCCATGCGCAAACGCGCGCACACACACACACACACACACACACACACAAGACTGGGAACATGCTAAGGCTGAGATGCAAGAAGATACATGAAAATGTATTTTTTTTTTCCTTCTATATTCATATTTTGATGACAAACCAATAATTTACTGTTTGAATCTGTAAAGCTGAGTGAGAGAAAGAAAAAGACAATGCACTCCCAACAATTCACATTCCTCACATAACTTTTTCACTGGTATGCGCGCGCGCGTGTGTGTGTGTGTGTGTTCCTATATAGCTCATGGGTGTCAGTGTGTGTACAGCAGCCTCTGTACTCAGGCTAACGCTTTAAAGTGAGCTAGATAATTATTGTATTATTATTATTATTACTATTAATTCACCTTTAAAGAGCCCAGACTGTTCCAGTGCAGCAACATTAGGTTGACTTGTTTACACCAACAGTAAAATAATCAAAAAGGAAGTGCTCACCTGTCCATTAACACGTAAACACTTCTAATTACAATAAAAAACATCAACCAAAATGTACTTTTAAATAAAATTAGAGTTAATCATAAAGTTAAGACATCTTTGGCATCACTTACTTCCTCCCATGAAAACACTAAAGTAAGTGTTCCATTTTTGGTTCTTTTTAAAACACAGGAAAGGGTTCTCTTTACCTAGCAAGGTAAAGAGAACCCTTTCCTGTGTTTTAAAAAGAACCAAAAATGGAATTAGAAACTAGACACAGTAAGAACACACCAAAGATGACTAAAGTAAGTGTGTTACACCTAAAATGGTCCGAGTGAAAACATGCTCTCTGATAGAACTGTGGTGGTTCTATTCTGTTTCCACCGTCATATTTGATTTTGAAAAGGATAACAGAGTGGAAACGACGGCCATGGACGAGTTACACAAGAATGTGTGTGTACTGCTGTACAATGATCCGGCAGACAGGTGAAAAATAAAAGTCAACTATGATATCCTTTACTGACAGAACGAGTAAAACAAGTGTGTCCTCTCAACTTCTGCCCCATTCCAGGGTGCTTGTGCTAAGTAAACTTCTTTTATCTGTTAAACCTGCTGCTTGAGTGCAGTGGGAAAGTCTTTTCCAGGGTGGATAACGACTTTGGGGGCGCAACACTAGTTACAGCTCATTTCTTTTTCTCAACAGAAACACATCCACTAATCATCACGTCCCAGAAAGAGGCTTTGCAACAAACCACAACTATTTATGGACAACAACAAAGCAATCGGCCTCCTGTGTGGAAATGATGTCCACAGTCCATTAAAGATCATAAATAAATCAGCTTACTTGTCACAAAAAAAAAAGGGGGATGCGAGAAACTGTGAGGCAACAAAACATAAACTAATTTATGTTGTAGGTTACTAGCTTGAGAGGTACTGGTATGTAATGTGGCACGCTGAGCATTCGGGAGATAAAATCTAACAAGCTTATTAAAATAATTTGTAGAGTACACACACATACTAATGAATAGTACTTTGCTGCTGAATGTACTTACTCCTATTTAAGTTGAATTATTTGGCCCAAAATTTTAAAAATCTCAGTAATAAAAGCGAGCATGAATATCAATACACAGCAGCTGAAATGCATCGTGATGCACAAACACAGTGAGAAACAACGAGAATCACACAACCACACATACTCATTTATCTGATCAATAGAACAAGGCTCAAGACAGAGCAGAAAGAGGCAGCAAGTTTCTGGACTGGTTGTCAATAGCAACAGTATTGTGAAGGCTGATTCAGGCAGCTTCACCACCAAACTATAACAAATACCCAAACATATTATAATTACCACTTAGTTCACACAAACCACAACATGATTCTCATTCTGGTTTGGTTCTGAAACAGTCCAGAACATTGTAACCGACAGCGAGTGGGTTACCCCACATCCCTAAAATGTCATCAACCGCATGAGCTGGATGTTCCAAGCTTCATCTAGCTTCATTCGGAAAGAGGACTTTGTGTGATTTTACAATGTCAGCTGAAAAGCTCACATCTTGTTGATCAACAACGGCTGGCATCTGTCAACTTCCCAAAAAGGGAGGAATAGTGCAGGTGTTCGAGGATAACTCACAGCACATACTTTTAGCTCTGTTATGTGCGACAAAAAGCAAAGATAGATCAATAAAGACATGGAGAGGGGAGCTTTCGGAGCAATGGCTTTGTCCTCTGAGGCTGGATCACTCCCATAGCCTAGATGTCCATGTGGGTCAATACACACACATTTAGGAATGTAATCAAGCCACTAGTTGTTCCAGATGAGGGATGATGGAAGAAAATTCAGGTCAACGTGGAAATAAAAGGGAACCTGAATTCACTCTGGACCCTTCTCTACCTTGACTTATGAACTGTGTTTAGTGTGTATTCACATATATTTAAAAAAAGATTTACCCATTAAAAGATATCAGTGTTGCCAGGGTAACAGCAGAATGGTGCTTTCCTCCTTATGCAGTTGCATTCATCCACAAATGAGTAAGTGGCTGGCACAGGAACATACTGCAGGCATATATGTTTCTCAGGGATATTTTTGTTAAAGACCTACTAATAAGCTCTCATTTGCAGCTGCATGTCTCTATGGTATTCTAATGCAACTAGCAGAAATCACAACGTCCTCCAACAAGTCAATTTACACACATTTAAAAATCAAACATTTTAAAAATAAAAGACTCTGGAAGGAACACCTACTTGTGACTCAACAGCAACACACACAGCTAAAACTGCATCTAATTGCAGAGTTTAATATTTATATTATTATTATTATTATTATTATTATTATTTACTTTTATTATTGTTATTACTACGAACAATAATAATAAATACAGTTATATTGATGCGTGATTTTTTTAAAAGACTGACGTATTTATATGAAATGAGTATCTGTAAGGGGAGAGAACATGATGTTTCAGTGGTGCTACAATCAAAATTGGCACATAAAGCGTCTCAGTTTGTGCATTCCACTATTGCATATTGATTTTGCAACAGTTATGCTGATAATTTCATCACATTCAAGTAAAATTTCCAACATTTAGTTTTACGTCCCTTGTCCGGTAACATGAACAAACCAATCGGACCTGAGATAACGGTAATATATTTTAAGCGGAGAAAGTATGCGAAGTGTAAACACATCACATTCAATCGAAACGTTTTTAAACTCTCCTAGTCGTTGTCACCCACAAAAACATTTAGACTTCGTCTTTTGCTGCCGGACGAAGCGCAACCTTGTGTATCCGTTATCGGACAGCTTTGGACGATCCCGTAGTGGCGTTATAGCAAATTTTACCTGAAAATGGTGAATTCCCTCGTTTCCAGCCGGATCTCCGGAGCTCCCGGGGCCGGATACCCTGCTGTTTTTATCCAACCACCCAACACTAGCCAACACAGCTCCGTCTGTGTGTCAATGTTCCAGACGTTCCGCCAAAAGAAAGAAATATCATCCGAAACGCGGGGAGGTACGGGTGTGTTGGAATGAGATGCTCAAGACCGAACCCCCAAAAATGTCGTCGGTTCGGCGGTGGAGGCAGTTTAAAGAGGCAGGAGGAGGACCCTAACGTCGACAGTGTCTGGGAGTGGTGCAACGGTTAAAGCTAGCAAAAACTGATAACAGAACAATTTCCGCTTCTGTTTAAAAAATAAAAGCAGTGGCGTTGTTTTCTAATACGACTAACAAAATAAAAGTGTCATTACGCCTTTGGGGTTTCCGGTCAATGTGTTCACATCAGGGTCACATAAACATGAGAATGGATCTTTGAATCTCTAAAGCACATTATCGTTTTATTTATTTTTTGGGTTGTTGTTGATTTTTGGGGGGGGGGGGGGGCGGGAGGGGGGGGGGGGGGTCATGTAGGCGACGGCAAAAGGACAATGTGCACGAGACTGCAAGTTAGATGAGTGACCATTATTGTCTAAATTTTGCTAAACTATACAGAAACCTCTTTATTATGCTGATACCCGGTGTCGGTACAAGATCTGCTCGGGTGCAAGATCGGCTCTTGTACCGACACCGGTAGATTTCCCCCAATTAATGTGCCTTTAATAATTTAAAATGCCTAAAATGTTCACGGAGTGTTACATATTACACATTTCATTGTCTCTCTTCACATATAAAGATGTGTACTTTCATATTAGGTAATTAAACTTGTTAAAATGTATCTTTTTTACACAGAGGAAATACTTTGTTTTAAATATTTTATCTATTTAGATGCCTGCTCATAATCATCATAGTATGTACTCTGCGTAAACCTTAAAAAAGAATAAGCTTTAAACGTTTTAAAGTTTAAAAGAGAAGTGTTTCATTAGAAAGTTATGCATATCTAATTTTGTTCTCAAAGCAAAACTAATGAGAATTTATATGAATTTATAAGCCTGATCTCAAAACAAATGGGCGCTTGATTGTTGTTTGGCGCCCTCTGCTGGAGAAATACTGTAACGAGTAGTACTGTTATGTCAAATAGATGGAAATGTGTGTCAAGATACATCTTCCTTAATCATCAACATATTTTCAGTGTCTACAAAATAATGTCGGTTTCTTGACTTTTGAATGCTGATTTTCCTTTTCATGTTTATTTTTCTCTACTTTCTAAGTTGCGTTGTTTTGTTCTTTTTATTCTTTTTATCCACATTGCTTGAAGTTCAGGTGAAGTTTTCAGTCACTGACTGACAGTCAGTGATGATTTGGGGTGCCATATTGTTCCATGTGCTTCCTGATGTCTTAGCTTCCCTACATTAGCTGCCTGTTAAATTCAGAATAGATTTTAAGATCCTCCTTCTCACATATAACTCTCTTAATAATCAAGCTCCATCATACATCAATGGACTGATTGTTCCATGTGCTTCTAACAGAGCTCTTTGCTCTCAGACTGCAGGTTTACTGGTGGTTCCCAGAATATCTGAAAATAGGATGGGAGGCAGATCTTTTAGCTATCAGGCTCATCCTCTCTTGTGGAACCAGCTCCCAGCTTTAGTCCGTGAGGCAGACACCTTGTCTACTTTTAAGAATAGGCTTAAAACATTTTTATTTGATAGGGCCTATGGTTAAAATCTGATGTTAGCCCAGATCTGGACAAGTGGGGGAGTAGAGGGAGGTGGAGTGTACAGTCGGTAAAGACGGCTCTCCCTTGCCCTGCCTCCAACATGCCTCCATCTAAAAGGCTAGGTTATCCAGAGTTATCTCTGTAGTTATGCTGCTATAGGCTTAGACTGCTGGAAGACACACTGACCACTTTCCACACTCGACTACTTTCTTCTACAATTTGCTCTTTAACTGTATTATTTCCTGCTACTTCAGCTGTTAACTTTATTTTTTCTCTAAGTGTTTTTCACCCCAGAAGAAGCTACAATGGTGTTCTGCTGAGCTGTGGTGGCCTCGTGAAGGGGGCCATCGTCTTGAACACTGTTGCTAACCATTTAATCATTCTCCCTCTCCTGATAACTTTTTACTTTCTTTGACATTGAATGTGCTACTACTAGTTTACCCATTTAATTATAGATCCACTAGGACAAAAACAATAAAGTTTAGCTCTCACTAAATAGAATATTTACTAAGAAATCACAATGTAACCATAGAAACATTACTTGGTATATATGTTGCGTTTGCATGTGTGTGTGTGTGTGTGTGTGTGTGTGCGCGCCTGCTCTGTCTTCTCGATCCCCAGTGAGTCGTGGTGGATGGCTGCTTATACTGAGCCAGGATGCTCTGGAGGTTTCTTCCTGTTAAAAGGGAGTTTTTCTCTCCACTGTCGCTAAATGCTTGCTTAGTATGATGACTGCAGTTGTAGCGTCCAGCAATGGTCAGTTTAGGTACGGCCTGACCTTTCAACATCTATTCAAAATCTGGTCCGAAAGGAGACACAACATTGCATGTGTTCCCTTTAAATGAGTCTGCCTTCATACCAGCTGGGATTCACAGACTCTGCATGTCTGAAAGATAAACAATAACTTTCCTTCCCAAGGTCCCATCTGTCTGCCTCCACAGAAGAAACAACTCCAGCTTGAATCAGTTGCTAAATTCAAAAATGATTTACTAAATCAATATGAACTTCTTCTATGACTCATAATCTAGACAATCATTAAATAAACATTTGTTTATTAATAATAATTATAGTATAATGAAAAGCTTAATTAATCTCTGCACACTGAATGGATGTTATATTATGAGTGTCTACTAGAACCTGCCATGTGTTCAACATGTTTTGACAACAAGGTCCTTACACCTGCACCCACACAATAACAAGTACGGTTAAGTTAGACTACGACACATATTGCCCTTTTTACCAGTCAGGACATCCGATATCAAAGAAGGTGTGTTTCTGAGTTGTTTTGGTAAAACATTTCCAAACTTGTCAGCCTCTGATTGGCTGTGCAAATCATAACATCAAATCCTTAAAACCGGATCATCTTGAGTGATTTGTCAGTTCTAGAGAATCGCTCAGACCGGCCATCTGTAGCAAAACCTCTTTAACCATCAAAGATTTTGACACGTCGTTAAAACCTTTTTGCACCTGCAAAGCTGATGAGCAAACGGTTCCTGCAGAAACAAAGCTGATATGGTTAGACTCCTAAAGAGTTCGCCAGATGCACGGTTCCATCCAGCTGTTGTGACCCGAGACATCTCTGGACTGAAGAGTCGGTACCACAGTATTCTACAGCCCTCCGGTGCCAGAGGTCAGCCGACCCCTGTGACTTTCGGATCCACCAAGATGGTCTCTCCAAAACGGGTGAAGTAGACATGACAAATTGCATCTGAATGTTCTGATGATAACAAGTTTATAGCTTAGAGCAAACCAAATTCTTTTCACCAGAACTCAGCTTATTTTGATAAGGAAGCTCTGACTGACATCACATTCACACATAGGTTCCTTCATCACGTTTAGTTACATCCACTCACAATAAATGCTTAATTAATTAGTCATGTTTTAAATTGTTTGTAAAATAAATTCTTACTTTTATAAATCTGACTCTTTCTTGAAGTAACACAAAGTGTGGTTAATCACTGAAAAAGCAAAGAACCTAGATCTTCTAAATTAAATCCTAGAATCTTCTGACTAATTACAATAAAGAACCTAGCAGGTTGATATTTTATATTTATATAGAATATTACATCTTCCTGGTTATAACAAATAAAATCATCAAATTTGCCTCCGCTACAGTCAGTGACTTGATGCAATTTGCTGGGTTCCTTATATAGGAAACTTTTTTTTCTGATTGGCTTAATGAACTGACCTGAATTGGAATGTTTACTGTGTGAAGTGGCTTGAGACGACTCTTGTTGTGATTTGGCGCTATATAAATAAACTTCAATTGAATTTATTTCCACAGTAAACACAGACACCTCCCAGGACATTTTAGAGCTCTTTGTGCTTCTTTAGCTGACCAGATTTTTGGAGATGTTGATTTAATTTTTCAGCAGGACATTGCACCTGCCCATGCTGCCAAAGGTTCCAAAACCTGATTCAAAGACCAGGGTGTTTATGTTTATTCATTTGGCAGATGCTTTTATCCAAAGCGACTTACAATTTATAACCTATAGGGCATGTTGTGATCTGTGGGGGAAACCAGAGTACCCGGAGGAAACCCACGCATGCATGGGGAGAACACGCAACTCCACGCAGAAAGGCCGCAGCCGAGTTTCGAACCTGCAACCTTCGTGCTGCAAGGCAACAGTGCTAACCACTGCACCACCATGCAGCACACATGTTACAGTGTTACTGTGCTTTATTGGCAGCATACTGCCCCAATCTGAATCTCAACAGATAACTAATGGGGTTCAGGTCAGGAGGAAGATGAGAGACACCAGACCACTGCAGATGACCTGAGGGCTGCTGTCAAATCAACAAGGGTTTCCAGAACATCTCAGCAGTGTCCTTTCACCTCCATGTTGCATTGCTGTAATTTGTGGAAAAGGAATCAATCAAGTACTGAAATTAAAATACAAAGAACTGGCATTTCTGTTTTAAATATTTTTATTGATCTTAGTCATCTTTTTTTTAATTGAGCAGATTATTCTAATTTTCTGAGGCACTGAAAACCACCAACACATAAACAAATAGACCATATAATGTACTCATTTTGTAAGAAATCTATTAGTACGTGAGTTTTACTTTTTGAAATAAGTTACATTTAACTTTATCTCAATAGTGAAATGTAGAGGCTCAAAATCCTTAAAACGTTCTTCTATGAAATTGAATTATTTTAGCCGATGTTATTCTAATTAACATAGAACATTTTCAATGCTCAATTAATTTCATATGTATTGCATCTAACTTAAACAACTCATTTTATATGCCTATTGCAAACTGTACCTGTATGTTACGTAACGATCGTGTCAGCCATCATTTTTCTGACCTTTGCTCCAATAACTTCGCAGACAGTCCAGCTGTTCTTATGATCTTCTCGCGCTCTCAGTGGACAGGATGTCTCGCGCTGCGGAGAGACTACGATTGGTCATCAGTCACCTTGACCGATCTCCAGTTTCGGTCGTATCCTTTTTACTCTGCTAAGAGGTGAGAGCGACCCCAACCTGGACTTCCTGCCGGCGGCGGCTCACCCTACAGTGGGCAGCTCTGGTAGTCGGTGCCCCTGGAACCTCATAGGAGTAAACATCAGAGGTCCCTGAAACACAGGGACGGCTCGTGACTACTAGCTAGTTTTGTAATGGTTTTGTTTTACTAACAGATACAGACAAGTAATTGTTACTGTTACGTGTTGAGTTAGACAATCCGGTTAGCCGCGTTGGTAACGGAGACATAACAGATAGGTTAGCTCAATGACGCTGGGTTAGCTGTTAGCCTAGCATGCTAACAAGAGTGTGGCTGCTGTTGCTACTTATGTTGTTTTGTGAGTCGTACTGGGATCAAGAGGTTTTCTTTTGCCTCCAAATTCCATAAAGAAACAAATCAGTTGATTTAGTTGAACATTTTCTCTGGTAAATTTCTGACATTTATTTCTAACATAACCATTTATCAGGACTTTCATGTAGTTGTTTAATAAATCCATAAACGACACTGGGAAAACTAGGAAAAAGTCATAAACAATTCAATTACTAATTCATTTGAGTTAATTATGCTAAGAAAAAAGAAAAACTGTATAATTGTATTTATTGTTTTTAAGTTTTATTTATTTATTTGAATTTGTTTCTATGCACTTTAAATTTTGAGGGAAGTTTTAAAAGGGAAAATCACACAAAATGTTTTCTGTAATATCATATTCTTGATCAATGTTGCCATACTTCATACTGGCTTATGCCACTTTAGGTAGTTGGAAGACTGGACCAAACCGTGTCAACCATGTAACAGGACATTGATCCCAAGCAAAACAAATACACAGCTGTACAATAGCTCAAAGGTCACATGATCAAAATGCTACAATAAACATAATAAAATAAAATCGTCAAAACCTTTTGGTTTCACTTAGTTTTTACACCCAGCTTTTGCAATTTGGCTTCATTTTTAACTAAAACACTCGTGCAGTTTAAAATGTCATGTTTTTGTTGATCTCAACTCATTTTTATCTCGTTTTATGACTCAGCGAGCACCAGATGATTTTATTTACATTTTATGATGACTGTAAATCAAAAATGTTCAACTTTGTACGGAAAGCTGATGGTGAGTCTGTTCAGACCAAAAGTCTGGAACCACTGCAGTGTTGATAATCACTGAAACGTCCATTTTTACTCCCAGTATGCAGATTGAATCGTCACTCTTCCTGGTTCAGTTCTTAACCGCCTCATAAGATATCAGCACCAACGTCTGCTCAAACTGTCACCCACATTCAGCCTCAGAAATCAAGGTAGGATACAGATTTAGTTTTGCTGCATCAAGCTGAAGTTTCAGTCACAGTTTATGTGAAAAATCTGGTCATCATTGTTTGGTACAAAACACATTTTATTTTTATTAAAGTCAGAATTGGATTTATTTTGTTATTGAATGTATAATCTACACAGTAGCAGTTTTATCATTAGAATGTTCAACCATCTAACTTTTCTAAAACGTTTTTTTTTTGTTGCTAGGTATTCTTTTGATACAGGCCTGCTGACCCCAGAACAGCGACTCTTTTATGAGGAAAATGGATTTCTTCTTATCAGGAATCTGGTGTCTGACAAGGACATCGAAAGGTTCAGGTACAGCTGCTAAATGACTGATCAGTTTTGTATGAATTATTACTTGTGCTTGAATAAATAATACTTTTTGTGCAGAAACTATAAACTATCATCTAAAAGCATATTTTAGTGTCGTAAATGTAAAAAACACACACACAATGAGGTGCTGAGTGTGATCTCTTTCTCATTTTCAGAAGGGAGTTTGAACGCATCTGTCGGCAGGAAGTGCAGGTTCCTGGTCTGATCGTGATGAGGGACGTGGCCATCGCGAAGTCGGAGTATGTCCCGGACCAGAAAGCCGTCTCTAAACTGCAGGACTTTCAGGAATGTCCTGAGCTGTTTCGCTACTGTGCCCTACCAGAGGTATTAAACACACACAGCAGATTATAAATGAATCTATTATTAGAGCTTAAGTGTTTGATTGAATTAAAGAAATTGGATTTGGCGCCCTCTAGTGGTCAGTCATGTCAGAAACAGTACAAATAATCAGTGGGAAACAAAAAGAGAATAAACCCTCAAATTTAGGTTTTGTTTTTATCATGGAGGTTTTTTTTTAGATTGAGACTTGACTCCTTTAAACCTGCAGAGTGAAACAAGTCTTTGTGCCTCTGCCAGATCCTGCAGTACGTGGAGTGTTTCACCGGACCTAACATCATGGCCATGCACACCATGCTGATCAACAAACCTCCTGATGCAGGTGCAAAATGTGGAAATAATGTTTGTGTCCAAATCAACTTCTTTTAATAATTCTCTTTTTTGAAAGTTAGTTTTTTTAAGGGGATCGATAATAATGTCACTTATTTTTGTTTCCTTTTGAACATTATTAGCTTGCAGTTTGGATTTGACAGAAGCAAAGTTATATATTACCTTTGTTTATATTTACCTGTTAATAATATTTAGTCAAATGAAAAATAATGTTCTTCAAAATAAGAACATGAAAGAGCCAAATGTTTTTGTTTTTAGCGTGATTTGATCCTCTTCTTTCCACTTTGCAAGTCTAATTCTAGAGCTTGATTTAGTGGTGGTGGTGTATCCCAATATCAAAATTTACTCCAAATTAAACTTTTAATTGACAAATACAATTTTTTAACAATATAATTTCCTCCCATTCCACTCATAAGTATGACCTTTTTCTTATGCCTCATGCATGATGCACACTTTTGCCTCTATTCCTGCACTCTCCTAAAACGTTAACTCTAGGGAGTTGCATATTTTTGATTTAGACTTTTTTCCCTCCATAACCGAGTATCTTCTCTTGCTCCAGGTAAGAAGACATCTCGACACCCGATGCACCAGGATCTGCATTACTTCCCATTCCGGCCGGCAGACCGCATCGTCTGTGCCTGGACCGCAATGGAGAGGGTGAACAGGCAGAATGGCTGCCTGGTCGTCCTGCCAGGAACCCACAAGGGAACCCTGCAGGAGCACGATTATCCAGACTGGGAGGTTTGTAACAAACACACGTTCTGAGTCATTTAACACACGGTTTTATTCATGAATGTGTTCTCAGGGCGGCGTAAACAAGATGTACCACGGAGTGAGAAACTACAACCCAGATCATCCAAGACATCATGTGGAGATGGAAATGGGCGACACCGTCTTTTTCCACCCGCTGCTCATCCACGGCTCTGGCATGAACCAGACAAAGGGCTTCCGTAAGGTACAGAAGCAATTGTTTTTGTTTTTTTATTTATTTTATTACAGACTTTCTAGGATTCGGTAAACAAATTCAAAGTGAAATATTAAAACCTGCAACACCAGTGTCATCTTTTATTTTTCCTCTTCTTTTTCAATCATTAAATTTACTTTGTCATTATTTTTTCCAGTATTTTAAAAATAATCAAGGCTGCCATGAACAATCCAGCACAAAATCAGATGTGAAAACTTGTTATATGGATTTTTATGACCTAACAGTTATTGGAGCTTCATACAATCAATCAGGAAGGTAACCAGGAAGACAAAGGACAAAAGAAGGGAATTATTCATTTTAAATGTAGATAAATATTATGTCTGCAGTTTGTTTTTATTATTATTTTTTCTTACCACATGTTTTTTGGTTTTTTAATTATCCAACTCTATAATTTTTAATTCTTAAACTTAATTTTTAGTTACTACAAATCAGCTCAACTCCTACTGATGAAAATGAATGCCTATAGTCTCATTAAAATGTGATCTCTGGATTGTTTCCCAACTGAGTTTAAATCACTGAGATATTAGAATTGACTAATTATATGGGTTCTTTTCCCCCCATTTTCTAGCAGCTTTTCATTCACCACAATTATGTTTGACACTTATATCTGAAGATCAATGAGAGAAATGTGGCTGCAGGCAGCTTATTTATGCCTTTAGTGTGTGTGTGTGTGTGTTTTCCAGGCCATCTCCTGCCACTATGCCAGCAGTGACTGTTATTACATCGACGTGAAAGGAACCACGCAGGAAAACATTGAGAATGAAGTGATAGAAATCGCAGAGAAGAAGTACGGCATCAATGATGTCGCCTTCAAGGTTTGCATTATTTGTCTCACCTTCTAACATTTTTATCTTTATTTATTCACGGTTTTAGTTTATTTTCTTTAAATAATATCAGTATTTACGTATCATCCAGTGCGATAAACATCTTGGCTCAGTAAGTTGGCTGATCGCCAGAGGAGATTATTGATATTTGGCTTGTAGTTTCTAAATGTGTTTTTACCGTGCAGCCGTACATTAGAAGCTTGGGATGAGAGGTTTGGAATGAATACAAATTTCCTGTGAGTTCCATAAATGCGAAGAAAATTTCAACAGGGCTAGCAAAAGAGGTTGTGGAACTGAGATTGTCTTTGCAGCTTTGAAATTCAAACTAAAATCCTGAATCTGTTCATATTTAGCACCTATTCTCCCCCTGAAACATTACAAATGTGACAGATCAGATGAAAAGCTGCACTGACAAGTATTCAAACGTCTGTTCTGTGTAATACTGCATCTGTTATGATACATTTGTAGTATGGGAACACAAGCTTATGTCTCATTATTGTTTACTGTAATAAAATCCTAAAAAATGTCCTGCATGAGCTACATTTACCTTCAGGTAAAGTTCCATAAACCAATGTGACCTCTGTAGAGCTGTAAAAACTAATCTGAGGTAGGAAAGCCTGTAGCTGTGTTGTTTGGTAAACGTGTACATCATATGGTCACTTGTAGGCAGCATGAGTAACTTTACTCATCAGGTAAGTCCTGCTTCCTGGAGCTCAGATGGATGTTCAGATTAATCTATCAGAGAGAAATGCTCACAGCTCCATAAGTGATAAGTACCTAGGATCCTTTAGTCATGAATAAGATGCAGAAGATGAATGGAAGGGAGGAAGCTGTGGTCTGGTCTTCAAGGCTGCTCAGGCTTCTGTCTGAAGGAGGGAGGGCCAATAGTTCTTGAAGGGTGGAGTCAGTCAAGATGTTTTTTGCTCTAGTTCATTTTAATAATGGTGGCTGTGTTGGTGGCCCGCATGAGGTCAGAGGTCATGTTCTGGTTTTTTTTTTTTACTTACTACAGTCAGAACTTTGTCTAACATCACCAGTTTGTGGAAAAGCTGGTGATCAACTTACTCATGCTGTTTCCTCAGCATCAGAGCATCAAGCTGATATACAAAACAAACATTAAAACATCTGATGGACTTACTGTTTAACTTTTTACGTCCACAGGACACATGGGCTGTGCGCGGCCGCCTGGTGCAAGGTGAGAGGACTTCTATGTGAAGAAAACAACTCACCCATCAAGCCCTTTAGCCACAATAGAAAGTGAATTAATGTTAATTGTACAGATCGACTGTCACAAAACTGACAAAGGAAAATAATTCTGTGTGTGTGTCAATAAAAATTTGAAAACATGATGCTGCAGAGGAAGGACACAATGGAAGCTGTTTAAGAAAGCGTGTCTGTTAAGTTAAAAATAACCAAATGAGGCCTTGGTCTTTTTCACACCCTTATCTGACATTATTACTGTTGCAGATTTCTATTAGTACCTACACAGCGCAGCTCGACTAGTCTCTCAAGTTTTAAAGGCATTTCCACTAGAAACCAGGTTGCTGGTCCTTTTACAGTATCTGCTTCCATGTGGTACCAAGTGTATCAGCTGGGCCGAAAACAAAGTTGGGGCTTGTGGGTCACTGATTGGTTAGAGGGCAGAGTCACAAATTGCTCCAGACTAAACACATTCAACATCACTACCATTTCAGCCACTGTTATGCTGTTTTTGTGTTGCATACAAATCACTTTGAGCACATTGCTTAACAACTCAACCACGTGACAAGCCCACCCGCTAGCCATTGCCCAGTTGTAATGGAAGAACCACCCAAACTGTGTAGAACATTGTCAAGTTGAGCCATGCTGAGAAGTACTCCTTACATTTTTATTAGATTTTTACTGTTTATTTTTGACTAAATATATTTTTATTATTAAAATGTGATTAAGAACTAACAATTCTAATAAAATCAGAAATGGCTAAATGCTGTCCTGTAATATCTTCTGATTTTTTTTTACCTAAAACACATCCTCTTCTAGTTAAAGAGCAAGTCACCCCCAAATAAACTTTTTTTTGCTGATAAACTAAATAAACGAGTGTCTAATCGTGCTGCAGACACGTGTCGTCAATAATTTGGCACTTCAGTGCATCTTAGTTAAAATTTAAATATTCTGCCTAAAACTGGCAGTGTTGTGCCGTTGTCAGGTAAAAACTCTGCACTGTATTTTAATTTAAATCTGCCATCGCTATTGGCTAAGAAGTATGCTATGATGTAAACTGGTACAATATGATGTCACAATGCTGTCGAGAGCCTGAGTGTGTGTGTATTTGTTAGCGGCTCCGCCCTCTCGGTCTGCCAGGCAACAGCATGTGTTGCATTTTTCAAACATGAAGTGGGAGTGGAGTTAGACTCTGGTAGGGGTTGACTTGCTCTTTAAAGGGAAATTAGGCAGTTTTGGCTTGCTTTTAGCACCCCCTAGTGTCCATTAGTAGAACCAAAAGCGAAACCCATCTCCTCGCTGTGCATTCGTATTTTTAACACCTTAATCTAACAGTTGAAATGTCTCCCATGCTTTCATTAGTGTCTACAGGAGTGATTCTTCACTAACTCAAACAAATCAGCAGTGCTCACGATCTAAAACTTGCTGGAAACAGACTGCAGCGCCAGGTATGTCAGCTTCATTTACAGAGCTGACCTGCAACTCTGAAGTTGCAAGTGGAATTTTATGGCCACAGGGGGCGATAGAGGCAGGGTGGACTTTCATTGACCCCTGAAAGGGTTGTTTTAGCACATACGGAACTGCTCTGCTGCATGTTGGAGTAGCTCTGTTGACTATATGTAAGTTTTGCCTTTTCTTGGACATTTTTTCTTCTAGTTTCTCAAGAAAAACGGTATTTTTTTGGACATTTTATTTTTCTGTTTCTGGTGCTGTGAAGCTTGGAGGATTTTTACTGCTATTTTTTCACTTTGTGAGCATTTGTTATGATGCGTAACCATGGCAACAAGCTGGTTTACAATTGGGAGCAGCTGATTAACATTGGAAAAGCTGAAATAATACCTTAACTGAAGCCACAAATCCCAAATGAGCTAAAACGCAAGAAGCGTGAGTGCAGAACGGGAGCAAAACGGAGACAGAGAAAGAGGAAATTCAAACCATCTCTTCCATCGATCATAATGGGCAATGTGAGATCTGGCCAACAAGATGGAGGAACTCCAAGCCATTTCAATGACTCAGCCAGAGTTTCGGCATTGTGTTTATGTGTTTCACTGAGACGTGGCTGCAGGGCCATATCCCCGATTCCAGCGTCTCTCTGCCAGGATTCCTGACTGTACAAGCAGACAGAGATCTGAAGAGGAGCAGGAAAAGAAAAGGAGGTGGAGTGGCAGTGCTTGTCAACAACAGATGGTGCCATCCAGGTCAGTGAAATGTCATCTCAGCAGCCCAGATGTTGAACTCTTGGCAGTAAGTTTTCGCCCATATTATTTGCCAAGAGAGTTCACCAGTGTTGTCTTGGCAACCGTTTACATTCCACCTTCAGCCATTGCTGAAAATGCATGTGATGCCATCAGTTCTGTTGTCGCTAAGCTACAAACCCAGCACCCCAATGCATTTGTGGCTATATCTGGTGATTTTAATCATGTCTTGCTTTCTGCTACACTTCCAACATTTCAACACTTTGTCAGCTGCTGCACCAGATAAAACAAAACATTGGATTTGTGTTATGCAAATGTAATGAATGCATACATGTCCAAAACAAGACCTCCTCTGGGACAATCAGATCACAATCTTGTTTTTCTCTGCTCAGAATACAAACCGCTTGTTCAGAGGCAACCAGTGACAAGAATAACTGTGAGAAAATGTTCACAGGATGCTGAAGAAGCCCTTCAGGGTTGTTTTGAGACCACAGATTGGATGACTTTCTGCCAAGGATATGAAGAGGACATCAATGCCATGACTGGATGTGTCACTGACTATATAAACCTCTGTGTGGACAACATCATACCCACCAGATCATTGAGGTGCTTCGCTAATAACAAACCCTGGATCCCCAGTGAACTGAAGAATCTGCTAAAAGAGGAAAAAAATGCCTTCAAGGAGGGAGACAGGGAATTATTGAGGAGTATACAGAAGCAACTGAAGATCAAGATCAGAGACAGCAAGGAGGCATACAGGAAGAAGCTGGAGAACAAACTACAGAGGAACAATATCAGATATGTCTGGTCAGTGATGAAGAAGATCACAGGCTTCAAGCAGAGGAAGGATTGCACAGATGGCAGCACAGCCAATGAACTGAACAAGTTCTTCAACAGAGCTCCGGACCCCACGTGACTCTCAGTCAAGCCTGGTTCATGCTTCTCCGTCAGCTCCGCAAGGGACAGACACGCACGGATTGACGGAAGCGTTTTGCTCTCATACTTCTCCGTCTCCTGGAGAGTGTTGCAAAGCAATTCCCCGGCAGGACAACAGAGGGCGTAGCGCTGTTCTGTGGTATCCTGTCATGTATTGGTCCAAGATAGTGTGTTTATGTTGTGTTTTTTGTGTATATAAGAGACTTTTTAACACAGACATATTTGTCTCTCATTCTCCCACCTTTTCATGTGCTCCCCACCTCTAAACCCACATTTCCTGTCATTTCCGTCCACAAATAAAACTCTTGCTGCGCATCTTTTCACTTCTCCAGTCACGGGAGAATTAAACGTTCATATTTTAAGAGTTTTTTCGCGAGGTATTCTTCAAGCTTCTCCGTGTCTGCCGCTTGTTATCCTCGGCTCTCTTTGAAATGGCAGCGCTGTAAACAACAGCGGCATCCTGACCAATCACAAGCTTGCATTGTCCGTCTCGACTGACGGATGTTTAGAAAAGAGAGCTTGACTCCGTCCGTCCTTGCGGAGCTCTCCTGCAGGCCCGCAAGGACGGATAATGGCGTTGCGTGTCTCCGCACTGACGCAGACGGAGAAGCATGAATCAGGCTTTAGTAGATGCCATATTGGCAGGAACAAAAGGTAAACAAACACGGATCGTAAACATGAACATGAACGGGATCGGCTTGGATTTTACTTCGTCTGAGTTTACAGGTGCTGGCCAGTAAATTAGAATATCATCAAAAGGTTGAAAATATTTCAGTAATTCCATTCAAAACGTGAAACTTGTACATTATATTCATGCAATGCACACAGACCAATGTATTTCCAATGTTCATTACATTTAAATTTGATATTCATAAGTGACAACTAATGAAAACTCCAAATTTGGTATCTCAAAAAATTAGAATATTCTGAAAAGGCTGAATATAGAAGACACCTGCTGCCACTCTAATCAGCTGATTTACTCAAAACACCTGCAAAGGCCTTTGAAAGGTCCCTCAGTCTTGTTTTGAAGGCACCACAATCATGGGGAAGACTTCTGACTTAACAGCTGTCCAAAAGACAATCATTGACACCTTGCACAAGGAGGGCAAGACACAAAAGGTGATTGCTAAAGAAGCTGGCTGTTCGCAGAGCTCTGTGTCCAAGCACATTAACAGACAGGCGAAGGGACGGAAAAAATGTGGTAGAAAAAAGTGTACAAGCTCTAGGGATAACCGCACCCTGCAGAGAATTGTGACGACAAACCCATTCAAAAATGTGGGGGAGATCCACAAAGAGTGGACTGCAGCTGGAGTCAGCGCTTCAAGAACCACCACGAGGAGACTCATGAAAGACATGGGATTCAGGTGTCGCATTCCGTGTGTCAAGCCACTCTTGAACAAGAAACAGCGCAAGAAGCGTCTCGCCTGGGCCAAGGACAAAAAGGACTGGACTGATGCTGAGTGGTCCAAAGTTATGTTTTCTGATGAAAGCAAGTTCTGCATTTCCTTTGGAAATCAAGGACCCAGAGTCTGGAGGAAGAGCGGAGAAGCACAGAATCCACGTTGCATGAGGTCCAGTGTAAAGTTTCCACCGTCAGTGATGGTGTGGGGTGCCATGTCATCTGCCGGTGTTGGCCCACTCTGTTTCCTGAGGTCCAGGGTCAATGCAGCCGTCTACCAGGAAGTTTTAGAGCACTTCATGCTTCCTGCTGCTGACCAACTTTATGGGGATGCAGACTTCACCTTTCAACAGGACTTGGCACCTGCACACAGTGCCAAAACCACCAGCACCTGGTTCAAGGACCATGGTATCCCTGTCCTTGATTGGCCAGCAAACTCGCCTGACCTTAACCCCATAGAAAATCTATGGGGTATTGTGAAGCGGAGGATGCAATACGCTAGACCCAACAATGCAGAGGAGCTGAAGACGACTATCAGAGCAACCTGGGCTCTCATAACACCTGAGCAGTGCCACAGACTGATCGAGTCCATGCCACGCCGCATTACTGCAGTTATTGAGGCAAAAGGAGCCCCGACTAAGTATTGAGTGCTATACATGCACATTCTTTTC